TTCATTAGAGCTCACCACGCTGAACAGAAGTTAACTGTAACTCATGAAGAATCACACCAGGCCTGTCTGGTTCATGCAGATACTCACTGCCATGTAAAGGCAATTAGATATTAGCCATGAGCCAGACTGTGTGTACTGTCATGAATAAGCTTCAAAAATGAAAGAATAGCAAGGAACAAAGTTTTTCTTCTGAGGATTGGCTGACCCGTACTTATAAAAGGTACATTGGCACCAAAATCTCATTTAGAAGCCACACACTGCAGTTGATGAGGAGACATACACCTGAAATAGCTTTGAATTTTAACAGTGAGAATTACTGTTTTCCATTTTTTTCCCCCAGAATATTTCCAAACAGACTCACAATAAAAGATCCAGCTAAGATGTACCTACTGGCATGAAACAAGACTATACCAACTAATCAAAGTAGTTGACTGTCCATCTTCACAGCTTTTAATGTGATACAACTCTGGACACTGACAGCGTACAAAGAGATCAAGAACAGAAGGGCATAATAAGGACTACCTGGATTATACCAAATTTGCCTAGATGAGAACTTGTAGGACAGCATATGCAGAACATGACCTCTGCTCTTTATAATCTGCCTCAATCAGGCTTTCATTTAAATCTGCACGTTAAGGCACTATTTTGTATTTCTCAGTGCATGTGTGTAATATGAGCATGCTGAGAACTCACAGGTCAACCCATGAATGCCAATGCTTGTGTCCTTGTCCTTTGACAGCAGTACTTGTCAGCAACATTTCCCTGAAACACAGGTTCTTACCTCCCAGACAATATAACTCATTATAAATGTAATCAAAAGAAGTGAAAAACTCCAGAAAATCACATGCTAGTAACTAGTCAGAGCAATTTGAAAGAGCCTCAATTTAACTGGTTTGGTGCCTTAACCTGGTAAATAAATATAAGCGCAGCTTCCCTGAGAGCTTGAAGTAACTGCTTTACCCAGCCTGATTAGACTAGCCAAAGGCTTGTATAATTTATATTAACTTTTGGTTGAGATTGCTTTCATTCTCCCTACAATCCTGGTTCACCTGAGAAGGCACCATGTTCCTCCTGACTCATGGAGAGTTGTGTTCTATTGTGTAATTTGCTAGAACAGTGATTATGTGCAAGTGGGAGAATTTCACAAGCAAAATGTCTTGTCAGTGAAAATAGCAGCTTTACTCCTACATTCACTTAGCAGCAGGAGGCAGAAAGTATCCTGGGGTTTTTGAATTATTGCTGAAATGAACTCCAGATGCCTGCAGAAAGACTGCTAAATATATACCTAATTGCCAGTTTCTTTTGTCTTAGCCCTGCTGTTAAACACCCTTCAAACAACAGCATTTGATACGTTCTGAATTCTCCATGACCCCCTCTATGCACAAAGAAGTGCCCATGTGCCAAGGGGCAGCACAGCAGGGCCTGGGCAGTGACGTCCCTGCCAGCCTGTCTGGGGCATTCACCTTCCTGCGTGGGGGAAGTTTTCTTACAAATTACCGCCTTGCTTTTACATTACATTGTAATGCACACTGATTTTATACCTCTCAGCCTTTATGCTAGCAAAATTTGCATATTTATGTAATATTAATCAGGCACCAAATTTTGCTATTTTGAATTTTCAGCAAAGGAGAGCAAAGCTATACTTCCTGGCCTGCTGCCACTCCAGTGAGTCATCTTTGCTGACATGCAAACTAATAGAGCTGAAGATTTAGAATTGCTGTTTCATAGAGGAAAAGGATTTGGGAGACACAAGCTCATGTATGCCATGGCTCATCCCTGCCAACTCTGACTCCCACATGCATTGCCTACAGTACAGCTAGAACAATGAATCTGCCTCTGGCTTTATCTAAGGGTAGCCACCAGGAAGAGATGCACAGAATATTCTGAGCTGGAAGGGACCCACAAGGATCATCGAGTCCAACTCTTAAGTTTATGGCCCATACAGGGATTGACAAACATCAAGGCTTTGGTCTGGAAATAAAGGGTCTTTAAAAAATCAAAGAACATTTTTATACCACACTAAACTATTTGCATATTCAAATAAATAAATGTAATTTCCATTGATTAAGGGATACACTGGTTTGTGCTTGCATAGCTTTTTTTCACGGTAGGTGGCATAGGGCTATATCCTGGATTTGTGCTGGAAACAGTGTGGGTAATTTCAGGATGTTTCTGTTATTGCTGAGCAGTGCTCACACAGAGCAAAAGCATTTTCTGCTCCTCACACAGCCCTCAGTGAGGAGAATGGGGTGCACAAGGAGTTGGAAGGGGACACAGCTGGGACAGCTGCCCCCAGGGATACTCCACACCATGTGGTGTCGTGCTCAGCATACAAACCTGGGGGAAGAAGGAGGAAGGGGATCGTGTTCAGAGTGCTGGTGTTTGCATTTCCCAGGTCATCATTACAAATAGAGCCCTGCTGTCCTGGAGATGGCTGAACACCTGTCAGCCCACAGGAAGTGGTGGATGAAAGCCTTGTTTAGCTTTGCTTGTGTGCACAGCCCTTGCCTTAACCTATTGAACTGGTTTTATCTCAGCTCATGAGTTCTCTCCCTTCTACCCTCCTGATTCTCTCTCCCATCTCACTGGTGGGAAGGGAGTGAGCAGCTTCTTGGGGCTTTGTTGGCAGCTGGGGTTAAGCATGACAAGGCAGAGGGATCACCAGGGTCCCCACTCTGGTTGTGACAGGGAGCACACAGCACACTGCCAGCTGCTGCACTCCTGTCAATGGACAAGCCCTGGCTCACTCTTCTTTACTCTCTCCCTTCATGTATTTCTATATTGATAATACCCTTTTTGAGCTTTCTCTTTTCTGTGCTAAACCATCCTGCTGTCTCAACCTCTCCTCATGTGAGAGGTGCCCCAGTCCCCAGATCAGTCTCAGTGACTGCTGCTGGGCTGTCTCCAGTAGCTTTGTGCCTCTCTGCTGCTGGGAGGCCAGAGCTGCACAGTGCTCTGCACGTGGCCTCAGCAGGGCTGGCAGAAAGGCAGGGTCCCCTGTCTGAGCCCACCGCCCACCCCCTCCTAAGGCAGCCCAGGGTTCCAGCAGCCTTTGTTACCACGAGGGCACAGAACTGGCTCATGTTCACCCCAGTGTCCACTGGAACCCCCAGTTCCTGTGGTGCAAGGCTGCTTTTCTGGTGATCAGCCCCCAGAAAATACTGCTGCAGGGCTCTGCACTGCTTTTGCTGAACTTCTGAGGCTCCTGTTTGCTGTATCTCCAGCCTGTTGAGGTTCCTTCCCTTTGGATGGCAGCACAACCCTGTGGTGTGTCAGCCATTCCTCACAGGTGGAACATGCAAACTTGCTGAGGGTGCACTCTGCCCACTAATCCAGTCATTATGTAATTACAAGCCAGTAATTTCATCATAGAAGGTTATCAGGATGGGCAAGTATGATTTCCCCTTTGCAAACCCATCCAGTCCTCACCTGACTGAGCCCTCCCTTAAGCACAGTCCTATACTGCAGTCTCCAGCAGCAGAAATGCATTGGTGAAATTGGGTCTTCCCTCCATTTCTCAATATAAAACAGAAAACAGTGGTCAGGTGAAATCCTATGAGCAGGAATGCCACCATTTTTCCTATATGAGATCATGGAAGTAGAAAAACCAGCTTATTTCATTTACAGAAATTCAGAGAATGGCCCAGTTGGCTTCAAGGAAGGACTGAGGAAGAGAAGCAAAACTGTTTAAGAAAGAAAAAAAACACTCCTCAAAGAAAATAACAAATGTTTCTAAACATGCAGTCTGTGTGTCTATCCATTTTAATGTTTGTCATGTTTGTTCACCAACTCACAACACAGTAGGGACCAGGCATTATGACAATATCTTTGGAGCCATCAAACACTAAATGAGACTTCTACATCGTAGCGTTAAGCAGAGCTGATGACACAGCTCCCTAAGGGCATCTTGCTCTTACCCTGTTTGCATTAACAAAACCTCAAAGAGGTATCATTAGTGAGGTTTAGAAAGGAAATTGGAGTAGGGAGGTTGACATTGGCATCTGTAAATCCTCTGCATATAAGGAGCTCAGTGGTAATCTAAATGAACTCTAAAAAGGGTACAATTTCTGGCATTCTTGCTGCTTCCCAAAAACAAAAGTGTAATTTTTAATCTTCTGATGCAATGAAAGACCTCTCTTACTTGCCTAGAAAAACAGGTATCTGTGCTAGTTCTGTTTATAAGAAATAAAAGATTGAGAAAAGAGCCAAGGCCAACATCTTCTCTCAGCCCTCCTCATATATAGTGCACAGGATGCAGAAAAACTTTAATGCATTTTTACAATAAAGTACCTCCATGTGTTTCCTAATTAGCCATCTGCCCCCTGGATGAGAAGATCCCAGCTACAGAACCAAACATCTGTGCTCAGCCTGTGTGCATGCACGTCTGTGTACCCACAAGAGTGTGAGCACATGCAAGCAGCTGACTGACTGGGAAGATGTGAGATTGCAGTAAGAGCTGTGTAATTTCACACAAACCTAGAGAGAAGTGTTACACAGCTGCCCCAGGAACTCCAATTCAAAGGAGAGGTGGAAAAGGAGAGTCTGCAGTATCTCAATCTGCATGACAACAACATCCTTATTGCAGGTCAGATTTTACTTATTCCACTGTGTTTTCTTTAAGCTGAAAGTGCTCAGAAAGCATGCACTGAGAATATTCTAGCTTCAAGCTTAGCTGCTGGTCAGATTTTTTGGTGACTAATATTTTCATTTTCCTCTCCTTTCTTGCCAATACAACCAGCCACCTGCTAGTCTGAAGCTATGCTGTCTCCAGCCCACTTCCAGCTCAAAAGCAGCACAAGGCCCAGATGTTTCTCATTTAGCACACAGTAAACACAATGGCACTCTAGCAAACAGGCTGTTCCAGCACCTGGTTATGTCTGAAACTCTCCCTGGTGCTTTGGGAAAGAGAGTAACAGCAATGAATCGTTTTCAATTATAACATAGTTATTTCCAAGCTTGTTTGGTGCCTACAGCCTGAGGAAAACAATGTCCTTACTCACCATAAGGGATATATGCCAAGCCTACTGACAATGAAGACAACGGCAAACGTAAGGAACAGAAGGTCACTCAGTTTTTGACACTTGCAATAGTTTGCCATTTTGGCAGCCTGCAAAAGAAAAAGATTTCTTTTTACTTCCATGAGGACAACTCAATTCTCTTGTGCTGTGTATAAGCTGTAAGAAAAAGAAGAAATCAAATTTTTATGATATCGCTAACATTTTCACTGGGCCACCTGACAGTGATCTTGGAACTCCTCTCCACCAAGCAGCTGGAAATATCTTATTTGGAATAAAAACCAAATCAGACTACATAAAACTAGAGTATGTATTTAATTTATTTCCCACTCAATTTCATTTTTGAGATTGTAGAATTTCAGATTTGCAAAACTCTTCTAAACCTTTTATGGAACTCCAGTATGTTTATGGTGTCTTTGTCCCCAACTTCTTTACCTGCTTATCTTTCACCTTTCCAGTATGCTCCACTGGCATTTTCAGCATCCATCTACTTTCCATGTGCCCATTGCTCTCTGACCTTCTAGTAGCTGCTATATATAAACCTTGTCTCAATTCCTCCAGTACATCCCATGTACTACATTTTTCTGAAGCATCTCTTCTTCCTTTTCTGCCTAAACAGAATAGTTTCCACCTCAAAGATTATACCCCTCCCCTTCAAGTATTTTTCCAAGGCTCTCTTTTCAGCCTCTGCTTTCTAACTTGTTGTCTTATGTTTATATTTACATGCTTTTCTCACTTGTCTTCATGCAATCTTCTGACTCTTTCCCAGTGAAGGACTCACTAATTCATTACTCCTCTCTGAAACTGTTCATTAAAACACTGATCTTCCCAAAAGTTTCTTTACCCTTTTCCCCCCAAAGAAAATGGTATATAGGGAAGGAAGCTTGTTTTAACATGTCCGTGCTGCTTCCACAGTGTTAATGTGTGCAAGCAGTTAATTATTTCTTTAAAACAACATCTGCCTTGAGACAGGGCCAGTCTTTCTTCATGTTTTCTGTCAAAGGTATCCAGAGAATCCATTTAAGTCACTGGGAACTCTTTTGGGTCCACTTAAGCCACTGGGAACCCTTTCAAAGCTCCTTTCTGAGGGGACCTGCATCCAGCTCCCAGTGCCCTACAAGACACTTGTGCAGGCTTCCAGAGTACTAAGAAGGAGCAAAATTACTACAACCAGGCATACAGAATAGGATTCTGAATGCAGAATTCAAACCAGAGAAAGAGATAATCTCAATGCCAAAACCAAACCTGCACTTTTGGATGTTACCCAATTTCTGCAGTGTTCAACTAAAAACCTGAAGATTATTCCTCACTAAAGAAACCCAGTTAAGAAGCTCCCAGAATATAAGGAAAGCCATCACTGCTGTGAAGAAAACATAACCTTCTGAATCAGTCCTATTTTCTAGAGGTTTGAAGCAGTTTGAAGGAAATAGCCTAGTTTGAAGGAAAAGAGAACACTTTGGTGCCAACATACAAAGCAAAAGCATTACTAACTTCCTTGCTTTTCAGATGATGGAAAAATCAGTCCAGAAATTCTGGATGTATTTCCATGGTGGCAGTCTAAAAAACTGGTTTCTTAGTGCATGGGGCTGATATTACTATAGCAACTTGTAGTAGCATCATGCCATTTCTCAAAAACAGTACAGCTATTGGGACATTGGTTCTTAAATAACAAATTACAATAATGCTACACATTATAGTGATAAGGAAAGACTAGAAAAAGGGGAAATGAATATGTTGTTGTTGGATGGAACTTGGCCACCCAGGACAATAGAACACAATTTTCTGAATTTAAAACCATGACTACAACTGAGGAACACAGCAATACAAATTCTTGAAAATCCTACTATGGCTCTTCCATACTTCCAGATACCTTAAGACCTGTGGAAAAAAATATCACCTCCAATATTCCCATCAATGCACACTACATTTTGCAATGAGAATAACAAAAAATGGTGCTTCCCAGCTTTCCAGTGCATGTGTTTCATTATGAAATAGATGGAAAGAGTCTAGTGGCCTCCAGAAACAGCTTTTCATTTTTACAAATGTGTAATAGGTAACACAAGTCAGGTGCACAACTGACCCATCAGGGCAAGCCATTTAACCAACTTCTTGTGCAGTTTGATAGTTTTCCTCCTCTGCACTGACTTCCCCCTCAGTAATGTCAGCACTGTGCAAGAGTCCATCTCCTCTCATATGGCACCAGTGCTGTGACCCACTGCCCCAGCAGCATTTCCAGTCAAACCAGACTGAAAGAACTGACTAGAAAGACCACTCAAGTATGTGCCTCATGAGGAAGCATATCTGATCAATGTTTGCAACTGGTGAGAACACCAGCAATTCCTCTTTGTCTCAGTTAATGAACAGAGGGTAAAGTTTTAGCTAGCCTAGTACAGCTGCTCTCTAGTGTTTTTATAGTTCCACAGACACTGGTCTGATATAGAATAAACATCTTTAAGTATTTCTTTCTGGTGGTGAGAAAAGAGGAATGAAGAAAGTTTAGGTGAAGTCACAGCTAGCTATACACATTGCTAAAACAGAAAAATAAACTTGCAAAGATGTGATTATTTTTATCCCAAAAAAATCCATATTCTCTTTTGCTTTCTATCTCAGGCAGTCATGTGCTTTCTAGATCAAAAAAGTTTAAAAAATAAAGCCATTTTTACAGCACTACTGAATCAGAATGGCAGGATCTTGATTTTGCAATAGGTGACTCAGGCAGTAAGCCTGTATTCTTGCATAACAGCTATCCTTGCAGGTACTTGAATAAAAAACAATATCAGACAAAATAGTTATTAACTTCGGAGGAGAGTTCAGAGACAGCCAAATTCCAGCATGACCCAGAGCTCTCTAGCAACTGGTGCAGATAAAGCATGATAACACCTCTAAGCTGCCACTATGGAAGTTACAGACTATCTTGACTTAAAAGAATTTCAATCATCCCTTCTTCTCCAAATACACCTGCTGGTCCTGGGATCCAGAGGCATAGGAACCTGGAAAGCCAGAGGTCAGCTCCCTGGCCATGCCCAAATAAGCCACTAAATTGTCCAACAGCCTCTGCCCAGCAAAGCAGAGCAGAAACACACCGTGACACCTTGATTCTTTCAGAGACAGCATCACCGCTCCACACACCATGTCACAGGGGTTAAGAACCAGGTGAGACACTTTCACCACTTTGCCGATTTTGCAACTTCAGCTTTTGATTTTCCCATGCTGTATTTAGAATCTGCATGTAACCCTCCCTGGCATGCAATGCATTACCAGTCTCTGCTCTGTACAAGCAACATATCAAAGGAGAAACCAGTCTGAAATCAGAAATATGTGCTGCTACAAGTGCAAGATATTTAGGCAAGGAAATAGACTATATTAATCACCATTACCATCTTGAACTGGCTTAGGAAATACTTGTTCTGCATAGCAAAAAGGTTCTGCCTAGTGACAGGATGACACAGGAATGATCTCACCTCTAGGACAATATCAGCTGCATCATGGAGACACAAGATCAAGGTTCCTACTCGTGTCAGATTGGTCACGTATGAGAAGGTAATCAGGGTGACTGTTACAATGTGATGTGTAAACATGATTCCAAAGTCCTAGAGAAGCAGAAGCAAGGAAAAGACATAGAAAACAAAAAATACAATGAAGTAAACACTGATATTCTGTACTCACATACAAAAGTGGATGGCTTTTTCTTAAATCTAGCATTATATTTAAGTTATAAAAATATCTACTATATAAGTGTATTATACACCCTGCTCTATATTTCATTTAGATTGAATAAAATAATCATTGTATGTTAACCAAATGCAAAAAAATTATTGAAAGGTAGGCAATTACCACACTTCTCAGTTCATAGTAATTTAACCTAATAAAGTAAACATTTGCAGTTGAAGCTACTTTGAAAAGGCATATGTACATGCAAATCAAACTCCACTGTAGTTTCTATGCATCAAGTAACACATGATTATAACAATATGCATAACCAAGTGCCAAATAATTCACCATTCAGAAGAGAGCAAATAGCTACAATGGAAGGCACTAGTACACTAGGACAGCAGGCACCTGCCAAGAACAACTGGGAGAATCCCAGGTCCAGGCTTTTATTTGTTTGTTTTTAATCAAGGTGCTTTGTCTTCACACACTAACAGGGTCAGGCAGTCTTCAAGTGAGCTGGAGCATCTCTTCCTAACTGGTCCAATCCACTGCCTCCCAAATGATGCAGGCTAGCTGGTGTCCACACCAGTAACTCTCAGTTATTTGGCCACAAAGTAACTGTGACTATTGAAAAATCTGGGAGTGGAGGTGCTCCTAGAAGTAATGTCACAGATACTTGCCATGAGGCAGATAAAGCAGAGGGAGCAACCTGCCTGCCTGGCCTAGGCTCCCAGACTGATTAATGAGAGAACAGGACCTAATGAGACTCTTCTCAGCAGGCACTGAGTCAGTCAAAAATAATCTTCTTGGCATTTGCTGAACGACCTGCACAGCTTTGAGGAAGTGATATTAAAACCCTTAAGATCACAGGCAACATTTAACTGGGAAGTTTCTCTATGCACCAGATGTAAAATCTGTTGCACAGCTGCCAGCAGATCCAGTGGCTCTCATGCAGAGCTGTCAGAAAGGAGAGAGATCCAGACAGTCAAAAGGAGCAGTCCCTTCAGGCAGCCTGCTCACCAAGTGTATTGGGAGGAGGAATTTGGCTTTCTGGTGGCTTTTGTTGGCCAGTCCTGCTGAGCTGTGGTAGTCTTCAGCTAAGTGGCCCACAACAGAGAAAACCAAAACTGTGCCTTCAGAGGGGCAGCACCTGGTTTGCAAAGGAGCTGGAGGTACTTGTGTCGGGCAGGAGGGCCCTATGGAAAGTGCCACAAGCTCCAATTAACACAGGGCAGCTCTGGAAAAGCAGCAGCTCCAGCCCCTGACTGCACTGTCTGCTCAGTCCTGAGAAGCATTTCCTGCACAGCGTGCCCACAGCTCTCTTTGGGAATGCAGCAGGTACCACTGGTTTTAGGGATGTGCAGTGCCACTGCCTCCCAGCACCAGCACCTGCCTTCCCTGCAGTGTACACCTGCAGTCCATGGAAAAGCCTGCACCTTGGGCAGTCTCACTAACTGAGGAGGGACAGGACCTGCTCCCAGCCCATCATTATGTTTAATGCTATCAGGTGCTACAAGATCCTATTTCCTACTCCTCAGTAGGCACCACCAGTACCTCCAACACAGACAGAAGAAAGAGACAATTAAAAGCTGTTTCCCTTTCTGAGTGTCCTGAGGGAAAACAAGGGCTTGGCATCTCAGTCATTTCAGGAATTACAAACACACATATTAAGACCATTTCACCACTTCAAATAATAAAACCAGCAAAGTACCTACCTTATTCCATGGGATTACAAGTAAGCTACTATTATTGCTCTGTGGCCATACTGCAGTCTAGCTCTTTACCTCCTTCACCTGCAGGCACGATGGCACTGTTCTTAATTTCCCTTCCAAATGCAATTATGTTAGGACATAGGAAGTCTTAATGGGGCAAAAAGTCAAGTAGAAAATCTCTCTTGTTTTCACAGCTGACACATTCATGTTCTACAAATACTAGATTTCTAGTCCCTCTTGGATATTCTTCAAGGCATTCCTGACAATATGGATTATTCCTAAGAAATCCTAATGTTCTTGGGCAGCAGTCTTCTGCATTTCTGCATGACTCTTCTTAAAGAAATGCTGTCTGGGGAACTCCTGTAATAATGTTTCTTAAAAAAGACAGTTACTTGACTCTGCCACCTCTGAAAAAGAGGTGCTGGACTGATCTACAGAAAACTATTGGAAAAAAAGGAGTAATTATATAAATAAGACTGCTTTATTATTGGGATTGTTTCTTTCCTCTTTGTGACACTTTTTAAAGTCATTAATTGATACTATGCTCTGAAGATACTATGTGTTAGATTTTAGTTATACACAAGGGTATTGAACACATAGATACCAAGTGGTACCTGTGTTCCCTGTGTTCCCAGCTTACTCCAGCATTTTCACCCACATACAGTAGCAGTTGTACAGGAATGGGCTTCTTAATTTTTGTGGGGTTTTTTGGTTTTTTTTTTGTTAATGTATTTAAAATCACATGTATGTTTGTGAAAGGTGTTTATTTACAGAAGATTCATAGCCTCCAGCTGTAACTACTGGAAGATGTCATGTGCCTAGGTCAAGAAAATCTCTGGCTAAGATAGGAGAAAGAACCTATTCTAGACACCATCAGTGGGAAGAACACAGGGCAGACAGCAGAGAAACCCCATGGGTCCCACTTTTAGACAAGCCCTGTGGAATTAAGGCTTCTGCCACCCACATTTGTTTAACGTGTCACACTCACTGACTGAACTGCCAAGGGGCCAGGGAGCATTAGTGCCACTGAAGGGCAAAATATCAACTGTATGGCTTACATTACAGACCAACAAGGAAAGGGAAAGGTCTGCAAAACATATGCAATCTAAACTGCTTCCACTGAAACAAAAGAAATCAATTCTGTGTGTCTTTCATTGCCAAGAAAAGTCTCTTTGAAGAAAGAAATCTAGTATCCAAATTTAGCAAAATATAGTGTACATTTTCTACGATCAAAATTCAGTATTCAAGAAAATCAGCAACTACAGATCGTTTTATTCTTGGAATGAGTGGACTGTCATTTAAAAAAAAGAAAAAGTAAAACACAGAAGCTTTAGGAATTGCCAAATGCTTGGAAATAAAAGGTGTGAATACCTGGAAAGGTCTCCTAGACCTTCTACAAACCTGTTAAAACTCTGAGTACAAATTTAATACATTCCTTTAAATGTACCTGCCAAATATTTTTCTGTTAAACAATACATCAGGTATCCAGAAAGCATGTAAATAAGCCTCACTGCTTTTAAGGTTCATCAGGTGCTTTAGAAACTAACAAACTTCCATAATTACTTTTTTCAGTGTTTTAAAAAACAGGAGCATGGGAAGCTGGAAAAAGATGATAAAACACCAATTCATACTAGGTTTCAGTCTTTGAAAATGAACACCCTCAAGGGAGAATACCATTATTACAGCAATATAATAGATATTTACGAAGCTAAAAGCATGCCATTGTAAAACTGTAGAAGTTGCTACACAGTTCACTGACTTAATGCCAATAGTAGGTTTGTGCAGCAGCCTAGTTTGCTCACACCTCCAGTCAGGCAAAGACAATATGATGGAATTTTTAACACCTAAATAAAGATAAAAAAGTATTTGAAAGTCAAAAAAACTCAAAACTCTGGAAGTAATTTTTGAAGTCATCAGTTTGCTATCAGAGAAGAATAAAATGAAGATAGGAAACAGTAAGTACATTTCTCTTGATCTACAGTAAATAAAAGACCAGTTCTGGAGTTAGGCCAGTGCTGAGGGCTGCTGCTTCCAGCAAGGACACACTGCACCTCTCCTTCAGACAAACCCAACTACATGAAAAAAACCACTTGGCTGAATTCCTGCAGTGCTCAAAACTGCCTGGGCACTTCTGACTGTCCCAGAATACAACACAGCCACTGCTGCTGAATTTAAAGTATCTAAAATGATAACCAAGATTTAGATAAAAATATTCCTTTCACTGCAGCATGAAAACATCAGTGGCTTACTCAGGTTGAGAACTGTTAATCTGCTCCGTACAAGCCAATTGTGAAAAATTACAATAGCATCTGGTATTAGCTGGCAAGTTTCCTGCTTCCTGTTGAACAGATCCCTATTTCATGTGGGCACCATTCCACACATTGCATATGGGGTGCATTACATTTTTTTAAACTCAGCCTTCTTTTAAAAGAGAACTACTATGGTGTTGCAAGAACTGGCGTTTCTGTCAAGCTTGTACTCCTTTTTGCCAACTATTATAAGTCTCTAGTAGCAACATTTTTCAGCTCAGCGGGTTTCCTTGGCAGCTTGCACCCCAAACAGTTTTGCTGTGTGACACTAGGGCACAGCTGCATTTCTCCAATCTGATCTTCCTCGTTATCAATTCTGCTTCCACTACAAAAAGAGCTGTCTCCACAGTCCAAACCAGTGAGTGGTTTAATAGGTCATTTATAAATATGCCATCTCCCGCTGGGTGCTGATAATGGAAGGCTTTTGACTTGCTGTCATTGCACTGCAGATGTGCTCCTGCTCTCTGCTGGACACTGCCCATTCTCAGACAGAGCTGTGCTTGGGACACTGTTGGATCTGGTGCTCTGGGCTCAGGAGCTGTGGCTGGGGTGTCAACAGGCTGCTAGCAATTCACTTCCCCACCTCCAGGTCCCATCCTATTTCCACAGCAGGTTGCCCTAAGGTTTTTCTGATAACAAGTCATTTCTACGTAACTAAGAAACAGACTTGGCTCCTGCAGTGTAACATATTAGTCAATATTACTCTTGATTTAAATTAATCTCCACTATCATACAGCTCCCTTAAGCATTGTCTCTATCTCAGTTTGTGAAACAGGGAAGTTATATCCATTTCAAGCTCATGATTAATAGAATGTTTAGTATCTACAGACAATGCAAGCAAAGGATTTACATGTATTCATCATAAATTGGTTGTTTTATTTACATTTTATCCTCCAATATGGATTTAAATTTTGTGGATGCTTTCTTGAGATTTCTGCTTCTGGAATAATCTGGAAATCCAAATAGAGGAGTGTGTTTCTATATAGGTAGCTCTGGCATAGGACTCCTAGGAATACACTGTGGTTCTAAGTGACAGATGAGTTTATTCAGGTCATAATGCATCCTTCATTTACTCTTTTCAGAGTTATGCTCCTGCTAAAATTGTAATAAACAGGAATTTTTCCATTAGCATAGCCTACAATCATTTACTTAAATAACAGCTGAAGGAAGCACATAAAGATATTATAAAATGCTTTGAAATGTTTAAAAAAATTAATTTTGAAACATTAAAGCCCCTGCAAGAATAGCTCAATGGACTGTTATTACAGACTAACTGTTGTGCTGCTTGTTCTGCTGTGGACTAGGATCCTCCTTGGAGGAGAGAACTTGGAATATGGAACAGGTTGCAACTAATTCTGGAAAAATATTTTTATTTGGATAGAGTCTTGTTTTTTTTCATTAACAATTCTCTAATAGCAATGCTGAGCTACATGACTGGAAGGATAAAAATTAAATATAACATCACTTCTTAATATTAAATGTTTTTGCTGTCCTTTTGTAGAAAAATCTGAAAGCCCTCATAGATCTTACCTCACAAAGTGATAATGTGAATTTATGAGGCAGTCTTGCCCTTTTCTTGGTATTTCATTGTTTAACTCTTAAAAGAAGCAGCACATCTAACAGATACTACCTGTTCAATTCCACTCAAGTCACTCCATGAAAGCAGAAGGTTCTTTTGGCTTCTGCTATTTGCCCTTCAATATTTTCTCCAGGCTCTTCTTTCCATGTGCAGGAAAACCTCACATTACAGCAGCCAGGAGCAAAGTAAGACAATCACAGTTTCTCAGTGACGAATATCTGCAAGACTTGAACATTGGAAAGAACTGCATTTCCAGTTCACTGCACATGCAATGCAGCTACTCCTCAAGTAAAGAATTATATGCTAAAGCTTAAAGCTCTCTGTGTTTTTAGTCTTGTTGTTCTTACCTTTCTTTTGACATCAATGAATTGAGAAAACATTAAGGACCAGTAGAATGACAATTCAACTATGTAGTAGTAATGAAGGTCAGGCATCAGGGGCTGAAAGATGGAGATGAGAAAATGTTAATAGAGTCTAACTGACATTACAGGCAGCTGTGATCTATAGCAAGCATGTTTAATTGCAGGGGATTATTGAATTATACATAAGCATCCTATGTGAAGAAAGATGATGGTTGCCTCTTTCAAACTCTGATGGCTCTGGAAAAATAAAGCTCCCCAAGATACTCTCTTCTAATGCTTTAGCCCTGACAATACTGTAATACTAAAAATTAGGATATTGTCCATTTGGAACCCAGAGCAAACTAAATTCTGGGTATTCCTAAGTCTGTTTTGAAAGTTTACTTGAAAGATCTAGCTGTATATCAGTAATGTGGGTTTAAAGCATAGCAAAAAACCAATACTAGAGTGGACTAGAAAAAAAAGTAATGCTAGTATATAATCTGATCTGTTCATGATGAAAATGTGGGCTTTGAGCAGGGCTCTTCATAATAGAAATGCCTACTTTTCGCATTTTCTGGGCACATATTAACATTTGGAAAGAAGAAAATAAAATAAATTTATCCAAGTGTCTTGTCTGATATACAACATGCTTACAGAGTTGTTTAAAAATAAAAGAAATTTTAAAAAATCCACAACCAAAACCAGCCTGGGGTAACTTCAAAGAAGGTAACTGGTAGCACACATTAACACTTTGACCCTCAGCCTAGGAGAGCCCGTCCTAGGAGCTGCTCTAATTTAAATGTGCTTCCATGATAGTCACGCCTTCCATGGCAGCACAGACAGGGACACTGGCAAGGGAGAAACTCCTGAGGGCAATTCCCAAGGGATTAGATAAATCATCTCTAGAGCACCTTGCGCTGGCACAACTGTGCACCAAGCAGGGTATGAGCTGCTTCCATTGGCAAGAGGTATTTCAGTTGCACCTTTTATTCCCATTCCCTTTTGCAGCTGAAAGCCAGTCCTTGGATTCCCAGGAAATGTGCTATGGGTGTTAATTTAATATAGACATATGCTTATGCTTTATGAAAAATGTGTAACTCAACTAAAATCCATCCTTTAAATCCATCTCTTGGGCCAATATAACTCTTTTCTGAGTCAGAGAGATTGCCAACAGACTTTTGATTATGTGTAATTAAAAAGGGACAGAAAATAAGAGCTTGCAATGAACTGCAACTATTATACCCATTATTGCAAGGGAACTCTCTGGGGAAAACTTCTAGTAAAAAATGAAATTTTTTCAGCTGCTTTATTAACAAGAGCATTCATATTTCTAAAGCCATACTTAGTGATAGTGTAGGGCAATTCTAAAGATGTCACAGATTCCTTCTTGGATCAATAGTGTGTTTAACTTAGTTCAAATGTTACATTCCAGTTCTCCATAGACCTAACCTCAATAGGTTTAACCTGTGATTATGGCTGTGTCATCACCCAAATGATCCATTTGACTATGTCTGCAGTAAAGTACAGTTGGATTTCTGCAGTGCATTGTTCAGTAATTTACAAAGGAGTTGTAGCAAATAAAAGATTTGAAATTTTATCTAGTTGTGGAAAAAACCAACAGAACAAACTGAAACCCCAGTACTTAGGCCTGACTAGCACCTAGTAGATATTTTTATCTTTGAGACAGTGATTTTCATACGGACTTTATTTGACAATTTGCTTTATGTTGGGCCCTCACCACTACTAGAACAATATTAGATACAGTAATTTTACCTCCCACACTCTAAAAGTTGTAACCAACTTTTACATGACTTTGTTCTTCTGGTATGTCTGGTAAACATATGTTCTTCAATCAGTAAGCTTCACGGTCTTTTGCTTTCAGTCAACCTCTTCTTGCACGTAATAACACAAAAAAAGTAGGAAACCAGGCTGAGAGGCACCAGTGACTGTAGCTACATCAATCTAAGAAACAACTGCACCTGAAGTTTCTGAGGGATTAACTTTCAGCACTTCCCCCATTCAATTTCTGCTGCTGCTTCCCTACTGTTGTTCAGTCCACCCTCCATCTCCGGGTGGAATTTAAGTCATTATTTCTTCTGAGGCTACACGACCAAGTTCCCTCAACGTTTCTTGGATCAAGATTTCTGCTGAACTGTCTCCACTGAAGTATTTCCAACAGAGACACAACCTTCAAGAACAGCAGCATCCAAACACAGTTCTGCTCAGTCTCTGTTCTGTCAAGGGCTACTGACTGTCACAGGGATTCATGTGTCTTTGGGACAATTATCTTATTCACACTTTCCAGTCAGACAATTGCTTTTTTCCCCCCTTCCCTGCTCTTAGGGAAGGAAAAAAAAATACCCTATACATATAGGGTATGTATATATACATATCTATACAAACACATATATATTTACACCCTAAGTCAAATTCCTTAAACTGCAAACTCTTCTCTGGAGCTTTTAGAATTTAATGTGTGGAATTCAGGTGTGACAGCTATGTCCATCTTTCCCATCTTGAACTCAAGCAAGATGGGAATAATCTAGCAACGTTCTGAAATGCTGAGTAGCCCACTCACACAAACATACTGGCACAAAGCTCCACCATAACAAAACCAGAGCTCTGCAGAAGTGGCATGCTTGTTCTTAGACTGCACTGTAACTTTTACCTGATATGGATACCCGCTCCAGCACTGCCTGGTATTCCAGAGCCAGGGTGTCTGAAAGGAAGAAAAAGCAAAACAAAGGTCAGTACAGACCACTTTGTGATATGTTAAGTGTATATACTTAGTACTAAAGGACAAAAAAAAAAAAAAAACCAGCTTAGAATTTGCATTTTTTGATAGAGGCTATGAAACTCGAATACTTGATAGAGGTTTTGATAGAGGCTATGAAAACCAAAGTCAAGGAGACTTCTCAGAGTTTCAGAGCATGAATTAGAGCAATTTGCCTGTTTTTGTTGGTAGCCCATGATGTCACTTTTGCAAGAGTGCAGACTGAAAGTAACCCGCTCGTGTTTGGATGGTCAGATCTCACACTGTATTCTCAATAGCACAGGAAATTTTGACGTCAGCCAGCTCAAATGTTTCAAAGAAGATTCCTTGCATGTGCCATTATATATAGGCATTCTTCCATATAGGATCCACCCTTCATCTTTACATAGCCTTATCTACTCTCCATTCAAGTACAAAGGGGACAGAACACCATTATTCAGTCTCCTGGAATAAGGCAGCACACAGCTTACACTTGCAGCATTAAGTGCTTCCCCTAGACCACAGTTTTTAAAATAAATCCTCACTGCCTGAGAGGAGCCCTATCCTTGTTTTCACCATCAGGTGGAGCAGCTCAGCTCAGGCAAACCATAATATCAAACTCATCCAAAATACAATGGGTGAGCATCAAAGCAAGAAAACAGACACTAGGCAGAATGGTAAAGCCCCCAGGCTGAGAATCAGGCTAGGTAGGAAGGATTTTTGAATATGCCCTTTAATAAAAAGAAGACAATATAAAAATTTCACACCAATACCCCCAGTGCTCCTGAAATGACAAAGAATAGCTCCTACAGTAGCCTGAAAGGTGTGCCAGCATTTGAAGTAACAGACCTCCTAGAGTTTCTGATATGCCTCTCTCAAAGGTGCTGTAAGAATGCTTAAGTCCATCCAAACTTATCCTTCCCTCCATCAGAAATAACTTCTTCATGGAACCAATTAATTGGTTCTAAGGTCTCCACCGTATTTACTGTGCTATACAAGTTCCCCTCATTTCATGCAATAAAAAAAGTCTTTGGAAACAGCCACAGTATCTCTGCAAGACAATATAAAGAATTTAAAATATTTCTGTCTGACAGGTGCCTAAATTAGATCCACACAAATATTCTAGGATAATTCATAGTTTTAGCCAGGTTTGAAAAGCTGTAACTGTCTTTCATATCATATTCATCAAAAGATAAGAGATGCTTCCTACCCAATTATTTTGCTGCCTAAATTACAGGTCCTGGCAAAAAACCCATATTTTTCTCTTTCAAATATTATGACATCTTAAGCCTTCTTCATAGAGATGCTTGCTGCAGGAGCTACAGATACAGAGGTTTATGAGCAATTAAAATGCTGATTGCTAAATAAAATAGGCCTTTCTTGATGAACCTATAACCACAAAGCCCTACAGGGTATCACAACTGACAAATAATGTAATGCATGCATTAAGCCTCAAAGACCAATGCAGCAGAATATATGTCCCTTCTGAGCCAGACAAGGCTCAGAAAGCCATGCTGTCATCTCAGACAAAATGCTTCTGAGCAGCTGTTTGGAAACCTAATGGATCCTTTGTGGGCAAGAGCACTTAAAATGCCAGGGCTCCTGCAGCACCTTCTTACCCTTCTTAGCTCCCCAGTCTCCCTTCCCCATGACTTGCCTTGGCATCTCTGAGTTGCTGTTAATAGCTTTAGCAGCAGGGCACTTGGGTTATGCCTGTCTGGAGGGTTTTAGGGAAGAGGTGGAGGAAGAGCTTGGTTTAAGCACAACCTTCCTCTCTGACCTCCACAATGAGCACAGCCCTAGACTGCACTCAACACCTAAATGTAATCCACGGTTACAGTTGGACCAAGAAACATCTTATTTAGACCTCTGTGAGCCTCACAACTGTGCAATACTGTGTAGAGGCTTCAGTAGGAAGCAACAACCTAAAAAAAGCTCACAGAATCTGCAGAGTGAGACCTAGACCCAGCAGTGAAAGGTGGATTAATCATAAGGGACCTAATACTGACATTCCAGGGCTCAAGTGAGTCCTGTGTGTGCTGCTAGGACAAGTCTGCAAACTTCCTCAGAACAGGCAAGGTCTCTGTGAAGCAGAGCACAGTTCTGCCTGAAAATCCCATGTTGGATGAGAAGAAAAGGTCAGTGACTTGGCCTCACAACAAACCCTTTTCTGATGAACATAAATGCACACTTCTCTTTTTGCTGCCTGCTGAATACCCAGTTTTCATTTCACTTCCTATTCTTGGTATATGTCTGCAGAAGAGAGGGACATGAGGGGATTGGAGAAGAGAGGAAAAACAAAGATCCTGATAAAAAAGAGCCTCCCCCCTTAAGCTGGAAACAGAATACTAAAAACTTCAGTACCAATTATGCAAGGAGCACCAGCCCTACAATGCTGACAGCCTGCCTTACAGAACATAAAGGAGCTCAGATGGAAGATGAAGTTTTACCACACTTAGGGGCAGTGCACAATTGAATACAATGTCAGTGACAGAGGATGTAAACAGCTGTTCAATCTGTTGAGATTTACAGTATTAAGGAACAAATCACCTTAATTTCCTTACAGGAATATCTGCTAAAAACTCCATCAAATCTCTCTCCATCTCTGTGATTAGACAGAGTAATTTTAAAGAATTCCTTCAGAAACAAAAAACCTTCTCTTGAGACAAGGAAATGGCTGAGGATTTTAGGGAAAAAAACCCTAAAAAATCCTTCCAAAGTTACCTGTGATGTTTGCATGCTTAGCCAGAAGCTTTGGGTTGTTTTGTATCCATTGCCTCATTCACTTATCTCTAGAGAAAGCATCTAATTGGCCCCTGGCTTTTAGAAAGCCCCAAGAAGTTAAAATCTCCAGGTCTTGCTCAAAATGCTGCTAGTATCTAGTTTGTGAAAGGTCAATTGTGATAGTAAATGATGGGGGAAAAATAAGCAGTACAATAAAAAACTTCCTGTTTATCACAAAAGAGCTGTCATGCACCTGATTTAGTAATGACTATGAGGTCATGGTGTAGCTCTCAAAGGGGTTTTTCCAAAATTCTTAGGTAAGTAAGAAAAATCTTCTGATTTTTTCATTAAAAAAGAAATCTGGCTGCTGTTTTTACCAGAATCCAGCATGTAAAAATCCAGAAATATCAAGACAGAATCCCCACATTTTACTAGAGTCAATTTATGTTCAAAACACATTTCAAATCAAAATAAGACACCCTTAGTCCAAAAAGAAAAGATGTAAAGTTGCTTTTCAAATTAGATAGTTTTTGAAACTGTAGAACAAAACCAGCAAAATACAGAGCATTCACTGTGTACATGATCACTACTCTGCCAAGATTTTTATCTGTCTTTGTTAAAGCATTTGAATACAATTTTGTATCAATTGTTACAAGCAATATTAAGAGGACTGGAAATAAGCACTATTCATTACAGTCAAGGTAATATATACTTTCAGCAAAGCTCTACTGATCTCATTTTTTGGGGCTGATATAGGCAAATATGCCAAAGATGTCTCACGACATTCGTACCTACATTCACCAAGTTAGAGCAGGTCCTTGCTTTGCTCTTCACAGAAACAAGTGGTACAAAGTAAGGCCAGAAGATTTCCTCTTGACCAGCTCTCACTTAGCCCCAAAATGCTCTGTGCAATTTGCTCTTACCCCAGGGGCAAACCTCCACTGTCTGACACCCGTGTACAGGGCAAGACTCAGCCAAATTCTCCTCAGCAGCAGCTCCTGCCCCCTGGCACACCCCTCCCTCCCTCCCTCCGTGTATCCCCAGCTTTACACCTCATCTACCCAAAGTGCAACTGCAACAGCACAGGAGGAGACTACCAGCTCTCTGTTCACTGCAAAGTACAGTAACATTTGACAATTTTCACACATTTTATATTACCCAGGAACTGAAACTGATAGCCGTTTAGTCAACAGCACCGTTCATAACATTAGGAGATGGACAATTATTCATAATTAACAGGTTTTTTGGGGTGTTGGGTAGTAGGTGGGTTTTTTTTTATTAGGTTTTGTTCCATTGGTTGGATTTGTTTCTGTGCATTTCTACTTGCCTAAATCAAATAGTATGTCAATAGTAATTTTCCCCCAATTATGGGTAGGGATTATAGCAACTTTTTTCTTTTACAACGTATTAATAGACATTCCTTTTGGACATCAGTTGGTTGAATAAGCACTTGCTTAGAGGTAAATTGAAATGCTTGATTTCTTTTTTTTTCCTGCAACACCTGCATCCTCTTGTCACGGTGTGCCGGATGACATTATAAGGAAAGTTAGATTACCTGGCAACACAAAAGGCATCCTTCCTTACTCTCCTCTGCCAGTAGCTCTATGTTCTACTAGAAAAATTACTCCATCCATGCATGGCAAACCCAAGAGGTGTTTTAATAAGTTAGTCTCTTAGATACAAATTCCACAACGATCCTGGGCTTCCTTCCCTATCTTCTTGGCTCAATGAAGATCCGTGTACCTGTAGACTGCTGCCACCTTTCACTCTTAAGGAGCATATACATCCATGAAAATATTTGCTTCTGCATATAAAGTAAAAACAAATACATTCTTATTCCTCTTAACTACAGAAAAACTCCTTGGTATTAAGGAGTTTAGTAAAACAAGCCACCATTTAAAATGTTACAGAAAATCACCTTTTCTTTTTTCTACAAGTATAAATATTTCACAGCTTCCTTCTCTCCAGCAGAAAGAAAATGAAATGATTCCTCATTGTTCTTGATTTTCAAAAAATTCATAAAGCAACAACCAGAACTTTGTGAGTAAGCTTTTCAAATTTTCTACCATCTTCCACTAAGGTTGCCTTATGATGTCTTGGAAACTCTCTGATTTCCTAAAGATGTGTGCTTTTTCCTACTATCCTCTGAAAAACTGCCCTGAATATAGCAACATCCCTTGCTACTGTTGTATTTGTTTTGCTACTACTTAAGAATTTCTCAAACTAAAGTTCCACTGACTCAA